AAATTTGAATTTTTTTTTAACAAGCAACTACAGCTGCCTGAATCAGCAGCTATAGAGCGGCAGCAAAAAGTTGCCTACCTAACTTGCTTGCAAGCAGATGCTCTTGCAAGCAACTACAAGCAATGTCACAGGCTGAAATCGGCTTGGGCCGTTGCCTGAAAATGAGGTTTAGCTCAAGCCTTAGCTCAGTGGAAATAAGCTGCGAGTCGAGCTGGCTTAGGCTTTTTTAGGTTGAGCCACAGGCCATCCGAGCATGCGAGCCAAATTTACATCCTTATTCTGATCTTAGTTTGACAAAGAATCAAGACTAGTAAAATTACCATTTTAACCTTTTAAAATTAGTAGATGTGTGGTTGTTGATTACGGTGAAGGAAATGGTAGTAGTTGCAATGGAGGAGATGGCACTCATGGTGATGGTTTTGGGATGGGGATGGGGTGGATAGATGGAGAAGATGAAGTTGATTTTTTCATTTTTAATTTTAATTATTTTATTTTAGATAGTTTATTATAAAAATGTAAATTTATCATTTTAACCTTTTAAAATTAGTCAACATTATTGTCAAAGTCAATCATTTGGTCAACTAACGGTCAAACTAACAGAAACCATCCATTTGGACTTCAACTGCGACATTTTGAAAATGTTTGGTATCGTGAGTGACACAAATTAAAAAATTGGACAAAGTTTGCATATAAATATATATACAAACACAATGAAAAGCATTCATATTGAGATCCCTTATGAAGAGTTGGTTGGGCATTGATGATGACGATGTGTTGCATGTGATGTTGGAGCGTTGAACTTGACCTAAGTGGTGGTGGTGGTGTGGCAATTGTGTTTAGGAAATATATCAACGCAATGGCTATAACGGTGCATTGTAGATGATGATAATGCATTGGAGTTCACATGTGGTGGTGATTGTGGTGAGGTGGTAGCAATATTTTGGATACTGCGTAAGTTGTTGTTTGTGATATGCATGTATTATCTATAATTAACTGTGACCAAATTTGTCTTTAGGGTGATTGGATGTGATCAAGTCAGTTAATTTGGTCACATACAGTCACGGTTAAGACAAATCTGATCATAAACAATCATAATCAAGATATGCTTAGTCACAATCGATCACACTTCCCACAAATTTAGCCACAAAGGCTGTCTCCTCCACTAAAATATCCACATCAAGTGAAGAAATTACACGAATCTTACTAACAACACTCAACTTTCTTAAAGGAAATATGAGTAAATCATTTAAGAATTAGAAACCGTAAAGAAAAAAATAAAAATAAGTATGAGAGAGAATTTTGTAATTGAATCATCAATAAAGCTATTTGTACAAAGTTGGGTTACAAAATGTGTTGGCAAAATAAAGACCGTTAATTTCAAATGATTTAA